CAAAGATATATAAATGTAAGTCACAAAGAAATACTCAATATCATTAGCTTCCCTGTGAATACAAATTTAAACTACATGAGATGCCATTACATACCCACTTACATCGTTACAATTAAGATAGTACCAGGCAGTGGCAAGGAGGTAGATGTGGAGAATGTGGAATCTTATATTGGGTGGAAACGTAAAATTGTACAGAGCTTTGGAAAATATTTATATAGTTTGTTATAAAGTTAAATATACCCTTAACCTATTATTCATACTTCTGCCTTACAGGCTTACATAAAAGAAAAAAGCATATAGTCACCAAACACCTGGCCTAACAGCTTCATTCTACAATTGGAAAAAAGTGTGCAACGGGTGCTGCAGTACATCCCAGCAAACTAGTAGTACGCAAAAAGGAATAAATTCTTCATATGTGCAACACTGTGACCTAATTTGAAAAATATGATGTATAAATGGCACCAAAAGACTGCATATTTATAATTCATTCATATGAAACTTTAATATCTAGGGGTAGACAGCAAAGCAGCAATTGCCTAGTTTTGAACTGTAGGGTGGAGATTACTGGGGGAAGAAACAGAAAATATTTGGGGGAGACAAAAAAAGACAGATAATAGGAGAAAGAGTGATCAGTGTCTTGCAAAAGGGAAAGAGACCAAGTGACAAAAACAGGAGGTTGGAAAGGAGAGAAAAGAGATGAAGAAAGTTAAGATGTGTTGGGCCATCTTGTGCTGAATGCACTCACTGTATATTGCAAAGATAAATCGCTATAAAAAATGTTTAAAATGTTCTTCTTGTAGAGATGCTATAGTGAAAGGGGAATATGGATTTTTAGTAATAGCTGAGTGGATGTATTTCCCACGTGTAATATATACTTCAATAGGGTTCATTTTAAAATAGTTCTCATTTTAATGAAGATATATGCGTAAATAATACAGCAAAGGCTAAGACATTGTATCATAACGCACTTCTAAAGCCATGGGAAAGTTATTTATACGTTTCATTATCTATGTCCTTCGATTGCCTGGTTTCACAATTACTCTTTTCAAAATTCCTTCACAAATTTTATACTCACGAAAGTACTCTAATTTTGCTACTGGTTTCTCAGCCCTATCACCCAGGTAACTGACCTAAGGTTTCTGACATAAGGTTTTGCCAAATTTGGAAATGAATTAAACAAATGTAAAAGTTATTTTGTAACAAATTAAAGTAACACGGGGAATGTAGAAAGAATTTGTGGACCATATTTAGTTTTCTTCGAAGTTGTGGTCTTTGCACAGGCGGTGCAGAGACGAGATGACTTTCTGCTGATGCTGACATGGAGGACACATGCTGAGGAGCACAGCTGAGAGCCATGGCTCACAGGAAGGAAAGGAAGGACGATCTGAGCGGACTAAACGTAAAAGTAAACGGGTTTGTTTACAGTGATGACAGTGTGTTTTGACCGGAATCATTCTGACAGAAAGCAGGCATCTTGACCCAGCTTGCGATCCACCCTCCCTCTCTGGTGAAGGGAACGGTAGACGACGTTATCGTGAGAGGTAGCATTTGCAGCATGCCCGACTGTCCTCTACCTGCTGTTGCACTGTGATAGCATACACTTCGCCGTACTGTTTTCTGTGGAGAACAGAGAGTGGAAGAAAACCCCTGCTTAAGCAGAAATGATCTGCCAATTGATCTCATTTCACAAAGCGGACTCTTGCCGTCTTGTCTTTCTCCTCTCAACTTTCCAGACACTACTCGTTGTTAGTGAGCTACGCTATACAGTCCTTATTTCTGCCCTGGTTGTATTTATAAGAATCCTGGGAAATAAAAGCTGCACAGTTATCAAGACAGAGTCAGCGATATTGTTTCCAATGGCGAGTACAACTAGTGCATTCGTATTGGATATGTAGGAGCCCGCAGAACAGGGAGCTACGCCGAAACTTTGGTAATTAGGCAGACAGATTTCCATCCTAACTTCCCACTGCGTGAGTGCACGTGCGTGCGCACACACACGATCTTTTGCTTTTGAATACTTCTTTTTGATTTTCTAAATGTGGTTTACAATATCTACCAAATAGTGTTGACCTAGGATTCAAGGAGAAAAGGTATGTTGTAAACACTTATTATGCTGTTTAATGTACAGTAGCTTTGACTATCACTGTGGATTTTATTATAAATTAGGAATCCTAAGACCTCTAATGCTCATACAAAATTTCAGTAATAGATACATCAATCTTCTGCCCAAGTTCTCATCTCTTTCATTTGGGAAATCATGCTTTTACCTGTCTCCTTTTTCCTACTAGGTCATTAAAAGGATCTAATACAAAGGAACATGGGCACCTGCGATCATCTTACTAATAATTAATTGTGTATTTGACTTTTTTAATCTTTATGGTAGAGAGTGTTAGCCAAGAAAAAGTAAAATTTAAAAATAATTTTGATTCTTTAATTTAATGAAAGTTTGGAAATGAGAAGTTTATAATTGCTTAAATTATAAAATTTGAATAGAACATGGAAGATGAGCAACATGATTCTAATTAAATCAGAACTGAAAATCATAGCTTATCCTGAAAGTGTAAATGAATAGGAAGAATGAATGTTAGACTCCAGGAAATCACTAAGCTGCTAGGAAGAGAAAACTTTTTGGAGTCCACACACGTGCACACGTGCATGCACAATACAAAACTTGATGTGATGAAGAGCTTTGCTTCTGTCAGTATTAAAAAGCCAGTCCTTCCCAGAACTTGGGGAGGCTTTGCACAATAGGTCTTCCTAGTTCTTCAGTGTCCCTTCTTGCATAACCCTGGTTTCTGAAGAGGTATGCCAGAGGCAAAGTGCACATTGTGTCATTTCCCAGATTTATGGGGAATCACATGCTTGAGTTAGGAATTGCCAAGAACACATTTCATTTTGATTTAAAAGACAGTTAATGTCTGAAATTGAAAAAAACACAAGTGATTATTAATAAAACAGGTACCAGTAACGGGATATTAATTTGCAAATAGGTAGCTAAAACAGCTCCTACTACACTGACAATCAGTTTTCAGAAAGATGGTATTTTGTGACTGAGGCACTGGGTCCTCTCTGGTGACGAAGCAGCAGATAGGGCAGTTTGATATGTCACTGGAAAGACCATTTTCTCTTGCTGTGTCATAAAGTTCTGTCTATACCCCTGACTTCAATGCCACGTAACTTGGCAAATGGATGGTTACAGAGGCCTTAAATTGTCCAGGGTTAGTTGCAGTCTGGAGAAAATGAGTGGGTTGATGGTTACGGTCAGCGTGGAACCTTCCCATTGAATGGTGATACATAAGAGTGGTGACTAATAAACAGACACTACATGGGAAACATTTGAATGGTGACATCGTTTTTCTTTCACCCTTTTAACTAGCCACAATAGCTGGGATTGTACTTAAGGATTATATGGGAAGCAGACTTAGCCCCAAGGCAGATCACCCTGGCAGCTGTAGAAAGAGAAGGCCATACTCTCCCAGCGTGCTATCTGCATTTTTCTATCGTTTTAACATCTGCCAGGGAGATCAGCTTAGGCTCCTGCACACTGCACTTGGAGGGCCCAAGGCTGGTGGACAAGGGCAGTTTCCTACTCTAAGAGAAAAAGGTAGACTAAGTCACTGGCTTCGAAGCCCTGTCCTCTGTACTCCTTGGCTGTGCTGCTTGGATTTTTGGAGAAATATGCCTACAAATGTTTGGAGCAATCTAGAAAATTTCTATATTACCTCAGCTCTGTGTCCTAAACAACAAAGATTCTTGGAGTTCTTTGATATTCATAAGAATGTTGTAACAAGTGACAATCACTGAAATTTTGCAAAGCATTAACAGATATTTGACTAATGCCATTTCAAAACCAAGACAATTCTTTAATCTTTCGTATGTGATTTATTATGTACAGTTATCTGTCATGTCCCTGCAGCTATACATTTCTTTTTTAGTATTGGAAATCGAACTCAGGACCTTGCACTTACCAGGGGGGCACTGTGCTTTTCAGATATATCCCCAGCCCAACTATACATTTCTAAAATTAGCCTTATTGGTCATTAGACTATCATACTGTGGGGCATATTCCTACTTTTTTATCTACTTGTTTTTTTCCCTACGTGTTGAGATTTTCCCATTTAACTATAAACAACTTGTTTAATCTTATTCCCTCCCATTCTTAAACATAAATTTAAATTTACAACAAATTATTCCAGGTTGAGAGACATTTTTAGTATTTTGCTTTTCTGTCACTAAAATGCTCTCTTTAGAAATGAAGAAGAGCACTTTATTGAATAATGATCTGATTGTTCTAAGACCTCTTTACCTTTGGGGTGCTGTGGGGAACATTTTGCTCAGCTGTATAGCTCCTCAAATCAGTAGAAACATAAATAATGCCTAGATGTCTAGAGACCTCAAACTCTAGAGGCCTTGTCTTTTACCTTCATTATATGCTAGTGAAAGCAGACCCAAGCAAGGGTCCAGCCTCATGTTTGATAATCAAATGGAAGATGTGGAGGTCAGCATGACCTACCATCAGCAGCAGGGCAACATGACCATTTTCAAGACTAAGTGCTAAGCCTGTGGACAGTTCAAAGAACAGTGGTGCCCCTTCAGTCCTTCCTTTATCACATTTTTGCTGGGATAAAATAGCAAGACATTGCATGTAGAGCCAAGATTTCATGTCCACGGTGGGCTAAAGTTATCGGAACAGCTCTTTCTTGCTACTGTTCACTCCACAGCTCCACCCGGACCCACTACAGAAACATTAAAATGCTATCTAGATCTCATTGTGAGCCACGGGAAGGCATGTTTCCATTGGCAACCAAGTTCCTCAACATCACTGCACACTGGAGAGGAAAGAAACAGGACCGATGAAAACACAAAGGTAAGATTTGTTCTAGATGATTTATTCCGTGTAATTTCTTCCAAGAGCTCCCTACCCCCAAAACACACACACCCTTTTTCCCTTAAATAAATAATGAGCTTTGGAAGTCCTTTAACCTGTTTTTTTTATAGACATCTTTCTAAAAGAAAATAGAGACAGTGTATTCTGGAAGTTTATATAAGTTCCAAAAAAGGAGTCGCTCTGGTGCAGTTTCAACCCTCAGTACAGCAGGTTTCTTTATGGTGTGTATGACAAAGGGCAGGCTGTGCTACAAAAATGCCAGCCATCTCTGTGTTCGAAAGCCTTCTATCACTCTTCTTGATTTGACATGAAATATTAAACACCAGTTACCAGCAAAAAGTTATTGAACACAGATGTCCACTATCACTTTCAAATTGCTAAAGTCAATTTAGGTTTATATATTTTCCTTGCTGAAGCATTCATATGCAGCACAAATGTTCTGTGACAGTAATGATTTCACAATATACCCTTTCAATTAGGAAAGGACATCGTATATGTGTTTTTATTCTTTAAAGTGCAATTTTTTTTCATTCAAAAGTTCTCGATCCTTCACTAAAAGTGGGAGCTCGGATTGAAAAAATAAAAAGAAAGAGCTCCACCTACTGATTCATCCTAAAAACTTCTTTCCCTGCTCTCTTCTTGAATTGAAAATGTCCTTTGGCACAACAGTGACCTTGTGAACATTTAATTCAAAATGAGTGGAAAAAAAAGAGAGAAAGAGAGAAAGAGAGAGAGGGAGAGAGAGAGACTGGGAGAAAGAGAGGTTGCCCCCGCGAAAAGGAAGAGTGAGACAGAGCGTAGTCTCTGCACCTAAGCGTGCCTCTCCTCTTTTTCCTGCCCCCCAGAAGCCCTAATTAATGTGTCTGCTCCAGGGTTAGTGCTCTCCGGGGACACAGGTTAACTGTGGCATCCCCTTTGGCTGGCTTTAACAGAACTCTGGCGGGTCACACATTTTACTCCATTACTATAATCATATTCATTTCCCGGCTGCCCCTTCCCTTATTACTGAAACCCTTGGTGGGTGTCCTTCAAAAGGATTTACAGGGCCATTTTTCCCACTGGTGAAGTTGGAATCGTTCAGCTCTTACCATAGTGCTCCCCGACTTGAAGAAAAGCGTCCACTGGGAACGCAGGGTGACTTAAAGAGCTGAGAGTAATGACCTGGGGTGGAGCCTCCAGGACTAGTCCCCTGGGAGTGATGCTGGGCTCAGCCCCTGGACAGATGTCCACTGTGGTGTCTGCAGCCCGTGCCCTGCTACCCGTCTCTGAGAAACTCACAGCACTGTGTATAACGTGTGCATGAAAGGTACCTTCCCAGGGCTTTCTCACTGTGCGCCAAAGCACAGAACTTCCCGTGACGCAGACACGTGTGACTTACTGAGGGAAAGACTGCAGTCTCTTAGATGGTCACAGTGTCCTCGACTATCTCTCTCGGGCTCTGCACCCTACATTGCACTATTTGTCCCCTATATTTGGGCAGTAACCATAGAAAATATTATCAATAGGCAACAAGATGATATCTGGAAAGGCACAATGGAGCAATTTAGGGTAAAATCCCTTCGCTTTGAGCCTGTCTGTTCAGTCATGCATTCAGTAGACATGGTTAACTAACCATTAGGTCCTGGTATTCAAAGTCTGAATAGAAAATGTTTATTCTTCCCCCAAATGAATCACACATCACCTATCACAGCAGAGTTGCCAAGCTCTACAGTTTTCTTGTCACACATAAATTCAGTAGCTGACCACAGCCAGGAACAGAAATTTCTTATAAATCAAATAGCTACACACATTAGAGAGAGAAGATGGGGACCTACTGCCACGTTTCAGTCAATCAAAAATATGTGTAATGAGGACATGCTGTGTCCAAGGTGCGGTGCTCATTGCTTCGTATTTAGTGAAATATGACCTAGTCCTAACCTCAAGCAAGAAAACACCTACCTTACTTTGCTGCTTGTAAGATTATACGTAATTGTGAAGCAAGGTCTGGCACATCATTTGTGATAGGGAAGTGACAATTATTATTACTAGTGACATAATGTCATTTTTAAGGCAATATCTAAGACAAAGATGGAAGAGATAATGGGTTCCTAAATGATTCACAGGGACAAAATTGTTCTGAAGTCAGAGGAAGTGAAACTCCAGGAGTCTCTCTTTAGATAGCTTTTTGCAAATAATTGCAGCCTCAATTACCTTTTAGCATTTTTGGAAGCTTATATTCCAGGCACTAGGCTGGTCACTTGAAAAATTCACTGCTTTTAAAATTTCATATCTTTTTCAGTTTACAATCAAATGATGTAGATATCATCAACTCTTTTTTACAGACAAGAAAAGGAGGTCCAGAGATGGTAAGAAACCTATTCTTTGTCCCAAAGGTCTGAGACGACAGTTGGACCAGTGGCTCACTGTCACATCTTCCAGCTCTTGCCTTGCTACCTTTGTCTTTAAGAAACTGGGAGAACTATTCTCAGTTCCTTCCTTGAGGCTCTGCAAAGAAAGGCTCAGAGTTTTCCCATGTAATCAAACTCTCTATCATAGAATTATAGACTATTTTTTTGAAACAAGGTCTCTCCATGTAGTTTAGGCTGGCTTTGAACTTACAGTGATCCTCCTGCTTCAGACCCCCAAGTGCTGGGATTACAGGGGTACACTACCGTGCCCAGCCCTAGAATTATAGACTATTGGGATGGAAAGAAATGCAGATCATTTTGTCTTAATTTCTAACTTCATAGGTAAAGAAGCAGAGGTCCAGAGGAAAAAAGTGATCTGCATAAGTTCGTACACCTACTTTGTGACATCACTGCAATTAGAAAACAAGATTTCAGGGTCCATGTTGGTGCCATTTCTAATATTTTCAAAAATTCTAATAAATCCTAAGTCAATGGCCATTTTCATGCAAATGTAAAATGCTTTGTTGAGAAAAATCTTTGTGCTTCATGTCAGTCTTATATTTCCTCTGCTGAATAGGTACTTAATGACTTCCTATTACTGATCCATCACTCTCCACGTCACGTTCCACTTGCCACCTATGTACACACACTCACACCGACAGAATGCACCCTGTCTTCATTCAGAAGGCAAAACACAGGCTAGGTTTACATTACAGAATTGGGGAGGGCTTCTATACAAGCCAGACAAACTTGAGCCATTCCCTCCCCACACTGACCTTCCAGCAGGACCTGGAACAAAGATGTTTCCTGAAAACTCTGTGTTCTCGGACAAACATAACAAGTGTCTGTATGAGATTTTAAATAACTGATCACAGAGTGGTTTCCTTACTGGATCATGACTGGTCCCAAATTCAATCAGAATACCAATCAACCTGATTGTCAAGTAAAATGAGAACGTTTTACTCATCCTGATCCTTTTTCTTGGTGTAATATAGCTATGCACTTGGGGTTCTTTTTTATTCTACTATTGTGGTCTACCAATTCTAAAGATGCCGTAAGTATAAAATTTTAAAATGTGTAATATGACCCTGCTGTAGAGAGGTTACTTTATAAAGGAGACTACAACAAAAAACTAGTAATTATTAGCTTAATCTTACCCTTTGATTCATGAGTTCAATTTTTTGTTTTGTTTTGTTTTGCTTTTAAGAGTGCAATTACTTGTCACAAAGCCAACATCAATGTCATCAACCAGGTCATGGAATAAAATACTGCTGGTGACCAGGGGGCTCCTTTGTTTCTTCTCAGCCACTTTCCCTCTCAGAAGTCACAATTACTCTGAAGTGAAGTAATCATGCCATTGCTTTTCTTTATACCACCTAAAACTACATTGTTAAAACTACATTTTACCTATTTTTAAATATGATTAAATTATATCTCATACTAAATATATGTATAATAGAAAAGTGTATATTATAGAAAAATGTACTATAGAATATACAGTATTTTATAGAACATATATAATAGAATGTGTATTATAAAATATGAATATATATTATGAGCTATATCATAGAATATAAATATGTATCACACATTATAAAATATATATACTATAGAATATTACATTGTGGAAGAACATATGTTATTCCTAGCCTCTTTCATTCAACATTACATCTATGTATCTATGTGTTTGCTGCAAGTTATGAACTATCCTATCACTGAAAGATATTGAGTTGTTTTCAGTTTTAACTATAGTGAATAATGCTGCAATGAACATTTTTTGCATGCCTCCTGGAATGCAAGATCTGAATCATTTGAGGTATATGTTAAAGAGTAAAGCTACAAAGTCACAACATTTGTATACTGTCAGCTTTAGTAAGGAGTTTCTTCCAAGGTGACTATAGTCATTTTCAGTTTCATGGCTACCTAATATCTACTATAAATATTTTAAAATTTAGCTTTTCTTGTAGGTAGCTTTCATTTGAATTTTCCTCATTATTGTTTAGGTTATCATTTGTGTGTGTGTGTGTATAGTGCCTTTTCAATTTTTTTTCATTTTGCTTTTGAAATTTTTGCCTCTTGTAACAGTTCTTTCTATAATCAGAAAACAAGATCTTTACCAGTATTATGTACTTAAAATATGTTTTATCTCTTGATATTTTGCCGCTTCATTTTCTTAGTGGTATATTTTGATTAACTGACATGGTCAATTTTAATATATATCCAATTTATCAATCTTTTTCTTAAGGATGAGAACGTTTGATTCCAATTTGAGAAGTTTTGTCTGAAGAGAGATTAGAAAGACATTGACTACATTACGTTCTAGATGCTATAGTACTTTACCTTATACATCTAAATCTATAACACGTATAGAATTGATGTTTGTATATAATGTGAAGTAGGAATCGTATTTATTTTGCTCTATTTTATGTATAAACAATTTCCCCAAACTAGTCACCAAAACCGGTTTCCAAACACCAGCTTTTCCTCCATTATTATAATGTCATTGTTGCTATAAATCATATGCCTATAAGGGGCTGGGGATTTAGCTCAGCGGCAAAAGCGCCTGCCTGGCAAGCGCAAGGTCATGAGTTCGGTTCCTGGTACCAGAGAAAAACCAAAAAACAAAAAAAAAAAAAAAAAATCATATGCCTATATATACACTAGTATGTTAATGAGCTCTAGGATTTATTAATTTTATTTGCTTTTTATCTTTATAGGGCAATACTATGCTCTTTTAATTATTGTAGCTTTTTTATTTTAAACAGAAAAAATAATAAAAAAAGTTAGCAACACTATAAATTTCACTAAAGATGATAGGAAGTCAACAATGGCTGCTGTATTGCATATTGTTGTCTTCAAATTAGTTGCTCAGATTACCAGATATATATAAGCATGCAAAATTGGTCAAAAAATTAAAAAGAAGAAGAAAAATTTAAGCATTGAGTGTTCATTTCAAAAGAGAAGTAGAAAGCAGATGTACAATTATCCCACCTATCCCATGCATATACATGTGTATTTTTTCACTTCCTTCCTTCTTTCTCTTTTCTCCTTTCCCTTATCCAGGTTGTTCCTTCCCTTTGAGCAGTTTCTTTACCTTTCACAATATCTATTGTACCTGTCAGATTTTATTTACTCTTTCAGGTTCTTACACTACAGAGATAATACAATGTTTATACATGTGATTCTTATTTATTTCACTTGTGAGTATGGTCTCTAGTTGTGTCCATGTACCTATAAAAGCCTCGAATTCATCTTTTTTCAGAGTTGAGTAATTCTCCATTGCATAAAAATATCACATATTTTTTATCTGTTCCTCGGTGAGGGGCATTTGGGTTGTTTCCAAGATTTAGCTATGACAAATTGTGTTGCTATAAACGTGGGTGAACATATATCACTGTGGTATGATGTTTTCAGTTCTTCTGGAAAAATACCCAGAAGAAGAATAACTAGATTGAATGGGACCTCTAATCTTAGGTTTTGAGGAATCTCACACTTATTTCCATAGCGGGTGCACAAGTCTGCACTCCTACTGACAGTGGAGAAGGATTCCTCATCCCACAGCCCCTCCAGCATTTGTTATTGGTTGACTTCTTCATGATAGCCGTTTGTTCTGGGGTGAGGTGGAAATTTGCATTTCTCAAATGGCCAGTGATGCTGAATATTTTTTCATGTATTTGTTTGACATTTGTATTTCTTCAATGCCCATTTTTGGATTGCATCTTTGAATTTGGGGGGCCTGATTTTTTCTAATTCATTATACATTCTAGATAAAATTCCTTTGTCTGAGGGACAGTTGGTTAAATTTTCTCCCAGATTCATGGGTTTTCCTTTTACTCTGTTGGTGATTTCTTCTGATGTGCAGAAATTTTTCAACAGGATGCAATCCCAATTGCTGATTCTTTGAAGTATTTTCTGTGCAGCTTAGTTTTTGTTCATGAACTCTCTGCCTACTCCATGTTTTCAAGATTCCTACTTACTTTCTCTTCCACTAGATTTAATGTTTCTCTTTTAATGTTTAGAGCATTATCTATTTTGGCTTTAGTTTATTGTATGGTGATAGACATGGGTCGAAATTTAGTCTTTGGCATGTGGAAAACCAGCTTTTCCAGCACCATTTATTAAAGAGGATATCTTTCTTCCAGTGAACATGTTTGGCCCTTTTGTCTTAGAAAAGGTGACTGAATGTATTTGTAATTATGCCTGCATCTTCAAATCTGTTCTATCAATCCTCAGATCTGCTGGGGTTTTTTTGCCAATACCATGCTGCTTTTATTAGAGTAGCTTTGTAGTATAATTTCAGATCAGGGATTGTGATGCTTCCTGCCTTGCCTTTGTTGCCCAGGATTGCTTTTGCTATTCTAGGTATCTTCTGGTTACAGATGAATTTTAGGAATATTTTCTCTAGATCTATGAGGTATACTAATGGTATTTTGATCACGATTGCACTGAACCTGTTTAACAATTTTGGGAATATGGCCATTTTCACAATGGTGGTTCTTGCTATCCATGAGCAAGGAATATCTTTCTATTTTTTGAAATCCTCTTTTATTCTTTTTTCAGACTACTGTAATTTTCACTGTATAGATCTTTTACTTCTTTTGTTGCACTGATTCCTAAGTAATTTGTTTCTTTTTTTGTATGCTATTGTGAAAGGTGTGGTTTCCCTAATTTCCCTCTCAGTGTGTCTGTTGTTTGTGTACATGAATGTTACTCATTTTTGAGTGTTGACTTTGTATTCAGCAATGCTGCTGAATTTGGTTATTAAATCTAAAAGTATTTTGGTGGAGATTTTGTGGGCTTCTATGTAGAGTATCATGTTATCTGTGAGTAATGAAATTTCACTTCTTCCTTTCCAATCCTTATTCCTTTTATTTCCCTCTCTTGTCTAATTGTTCTGGCTATTGTTTCCAGAACTATATTGAATAGGAGTGGTGACAGTGGACATCAGTGTATTGTTCTTGATCTTAAAGTGAAAGCTTTCAGTTTTTCTCCACTTAGCATGGTATTGGCTGTTGGTTTGTCATAGATGGATTTTACCAGAGTGAAGTAAAAACCATCTATTCTGATTTTCTGTAGGGTTTTTATCATGAGTGCATGTTGGACTTTATCAAAAAATTTTTTCTACATCTGTTGAGATGGTCATGTGATTTTTTTTTTTATTTTAAGGATAAAAGGAGGGAAACATTAACAGACATACAACATTTTACAACATATCACAAGCACAATACAGACAATACAGAGTTACAACAAAGTGGTAGGGAATTAACAATGGTGGTTGTATTACATATTGATATCTTCAAAGTGGCTTCTCATGAAAACAGATATAGACATGCAATACTGGTCAACCAAAGACTCATTGACAGTTTCTTTCAGCATAGAAACAGCAGATAGAAGAACAACCATGTTATCTATCCTGTATATACATACATACAAAATTTCTCCTTCTTTCCCTTCTCTTTTCCCACATCCCAGAAGCCCTTTACTCTTCGGTG